AGTATGGATTTTGTTGAATCCTGACTGGAATGTTAACAAATCACATAAAAGAAGATTATTTCTGCTGGAACTTGGAGAAGTAAATTTTTGAGACAAGTCTGATATATTTGCAATATTAAAATTATTTAATTTTTTTCACAGAGTATGATTAACTTTGGCCACAAGGATGACTTGGTAGAGACAAAGATTCCTGCTATACTCAGCAAATCCGGCAGATGTCATGCTTGTCCTAGAATAAAGGATAAGAAAACAGCACTAAAATGTTCAAAGTGCAACAAACCAACATGTAGAGATCATGTTTTTATGATATGTAGGAATTGTTCTACAAATTGAACAAATTACATTCACTTTTTGTGTTAAAAAATTAAATAAATTTTTTGTAACAATAAAAACAAATTATTATATTGTTTTGTTCATTAAAATTGTTGTTATTCACCAAACGTGTTTTATTTGCATGATAAAATTTATTTTGTGTCATCATTATTTGTTGTTATCATCAGATTTAACCTTGGGGTAGAAATCTACCCCATTCGTCTTCAGTGGATGAAAAAAATCGCCGTCATCGCAGGGTTAATTCGACAACAATTATTGAACATCTTGCACCTCAGTTACGGTAATCAGTACAAGTTTTCATTATAACTTCTTGATTGCCTTTGATGTCAATAAAATTTTGGAAAAAAAAATGTTGTAGTTGCGTTGTTAATGCCGTTGTTGATGTTTCTGTAGTTGTTGTTATCAATATATCTGCAGTTTTTCAAGGTAGAACACATAATTTAAAAAAATTTTGTTAAATAAGCAACTCGACTCGAAGTTTTGACGAATTTGAAATATAATTTGTGAAATAAAGTAATTCTCAGTGGTCAAATTAAGAGGCTGACCTCTCATGAATATATTGGCTTCACATTTATTAGTTTGCTTTATGCTGGGGTGCATTGGCTATGAGGCGCGTCCCCAGGTGGTGGACAGGGGAAGTCTTGGGCAGGGAAACCTTCTAGGAATGCATCAAATAATACGAATAAAATGCCGCGAGCCAACTGTACCAGAAGACAACGGTGAAAGAGGCAATAGCGGATGATCTTCGATTCTAAATCCACTGCCTTGTGGAACAGGGACCTTTGACCCAAAGGCTAGATGCACTGCTTACAAAAGTGCTCTCTTGGGCACGAGATAAACTGCAACCGCACTGCCTTGTGTGCTACCCGCAAAAAGCCTAGGCCTACTACTTATAACTGGTGGTTGTCGTTAGAAATTGGGCAATTCCAGATATAAAAATTTTTTGACCCAAACATCTTCCATGTCATCACAATCATTAGTTTGGACGATATACTGGACATATGCCTCAAAACGATGACGATATAGCATGATGTACACTAGAAGCAGATATATGCATTCAACATTTGTTATTGGTGTAAGATTATGGAATGCAACACCGTTTAACCCTCAAACACATTCCTGTCTACAAATGTAGACATTGCATTTTCAATCTTCAACAACTTTTTTATTTCTTATTTCATTGGGCTGAAATTTTATTTCCAAGAAAATTTTAGTTTGATCAAACAATTTTTAAAACTTCAACAAAAAATTTTTATAGGTGGCGCTACTAGATGTAAATCATCTTATTTCACTTACCTCTCTACATTTGTAGACATAACGGGGGTCAAGGTGATCGAGTGACCTTTAATACCCCTATAAAGAAGATGATCTGCTGTTTCATTTACCGTTTTGTAATAATAACTTATTCATATATTTATACATACATAATTACATTTCTGTCAGATTTCAGCCTTATGTATGTTTTTGCCGAATAGTACTTGCCAAGCAGTGAATCAATCTATTTTTTATTATCACTCGTAAACATTTTGTGTTCAGATTTTTAAAATACTATTACAAATTCAGAAATTAAAATGTCTAAAAAATATAGTTTAAAAGAAGCTATTACTTTTATTAATGTATCTGATAGTGAGGATGAAGTAGATAATGTTGAAAATCCTAATATTAGTGATTCTTCATCGGATCAGTCATCAGACACACAAGTTGAAGATAATTTCAATAGCGACAGTGACATTGATATTGATATGAAACTTACTACATATGATGATCTATTGCCTAGTAGCAGTGATGAAATGGAAGAAAGCGATGAAAATGAAGATGGGTCCATCAAGTTTGAAACAGTGAAGTCGCCCAATGGTATAGAGTGGACATCTTCAAAGCCAGTTTCGAGAAGACTAGCAAGAAATATAGTTAAATTTTCTCCAGGTCCAACAACAACTTTTAATGATGAATTGGAATTATTTCATTGTTTTTTAGATGAAAATATATTGCGTGTGATTTTATTAAACACAAACAGAAGAATGAAAGCCATTGGGAAGAAAAAATTTTCTTTTGAGGAATTGAAAGCTGGTATCGGTATTATGATAAGAGCAGGTGCAGATAAAGATAATTTATCATCTGTTCGTTCCCTATGGTGTCCCAAAGATTCAAGGCCATTTTACAGAATTGCAATGGCTCAAAATAGATTCAATTTATTGGTTCGTTATCTGTCACTAGATAACCGAAATACGAGAAAAGAAAGGCAAAAAAGCGATAACATGGCAGCAGTAAGAGATATTTGGGAAATGTTCCAAAACAACCTTAGAAAGCATTATGTACCATCTGAATGGCTAACGGTTGATGAACAACTTTATGGTTTTAGAGGATATGCACCTGGTCGTAGTTACATGCCAAATAAACCAGCTAAGTATGGAATTAAAATATTTTGGGTTTGTGATGCTACAAATGGTTTTGCCTTGAAAGGAGAAATTTATGCTGGCAAAAAAGGAGATGATCGACAAGTAGGTCTTGCTGAAGATATGGTTTTAAAGTTGGTGGAATGCTATAAAGGAAGCGACAGAAATATATTTATTGATCGCTATTTTACTGGTTATTCATTATGTGTGAAGCTCCTTGACAGGGGATTAACTATGACTGGTACAATTATGCCTAGTAGACGGGACGTACCCAAGTGTTTTAAAAATGTAAAATCAAGAGAATTAATTAGAGCCTTAAAATAAGAAAGAATTCGTGACACGGAGGAAGAAGCGAAACAGGAGGAGGAAGATAGAAGGATCAGAAGAGAGGCAGATATGCGGAGAATGGAACACAAGGAAGATACGGAAGAACAACTCGGAAGAAAAACACAGCAGCAAAAGTACGCGATTGGAGTCAAAGGACGAGTGGGACCGATGATTGACATGTGCCCGTCTGACCCGCGAAGAATTGCATCATATTTCCATCTCATTGAAGGCGTGTTTGACAAGTTTCAAGTTGAGGACAGTTTGAAGGTTAAAATATTGCTATCCAAATTGGATGTAAAAATGAGGAATGTGATGAACGAACTAGATAATGATAAGCGGTATGATTACGAGGTGGTGAAACGGCAAATACTGCAACGATGTCGTTTCTCTCCTATGAAACTGCGGGACGAGTTTTTTGGATCTAGGAAAGCGAAGGATGAGACCTTTCCGGCATTTGCTGCCAGATTACATAGTTGTCTCAGACTTTACTTCCAAAGCCGGCAAGCCGAATCATTTGACCGAGGGTTGTCACTTCTAGTGGCAGATCGTATGAAGGAACTGCTGCCGAAGAACTTATTGGATCATATTCTTACGCGAGAGAGTGAGGATTGGTTTACACATGACCAGATGGCTGACATACTGGAGCGCTATGAAGCCAACATGAATATGACCTGTTCCACCGCTCACGCGGCCGGGTATAAGGTACGACCGATGACGAATCAGGATAATTTGAACACAAGATGGCAGAAAACGGAGACAAAAAGTGGGCCAGTGTCAGTAAGTGGTTGTTATAGCCGTGGTAACACTGGTCATCTTGCCAAGCATTGTTCGAGGAAAATAAAGGACGAACCAGTAAAACGGATCATGAAATGCCAGGTGAACCAGATGTTAGATGGTACAGTGAATGAGCAGGCCCAGGAGGGAGTTGGTAAAAAGGTGCAAGTTGGAAAATTTTTCAAAAGACCCTTTGTGAAGGTCCAGGTACAGGGGAAACAATTCTGCGATGCTCTGGTGGATAGTGGAGTCGAGGTATGTTGCATCAGTGAAAAATTCTTTGATGCTTTAAATCTAGAGCGAATGGGCCAACTACGGATTGTAGGATTGGATGGACAGAGTAAGAAGGTTGACGCTACCTGGGTAACTGTGACTCCCCAGATAAAACACTGAAGTCATCGCACCAAGTGTGAAAGTTTGGTGTGCCATTATACCAAATGCCCACAAAAAGCTACTTATCACCCCTGATGTAGTTGAACGTTTGAAGGGGACAGAAGAATATGCAGTGCCGTTGGTGAGTTTAGAAGAAGATACAAGAAATGCCTCGGGTAAAGTTATTCAAAGAAGGATAAAAACATTTGATGGACTAACGCAAGAAGGTAAAGGACAGATGTTTTACGATCCGGAGGTTGGGCTCACACAATGGGAACCATGGAATCAAGAAGCTAATAATAATAATAACATTGATCACATTGAATCTGGCTGATGTTGAAATTCCAGATTGTTATAAATTTTTTGCTTGGTAGGGTTTTTTGTACGGGGGATATTTGTTCTGGAGTTAATTGTCCGGGGGGTATTTTGCTCGGGAAATTTTTTGCTCGGGGCTATTTGTCCGGGGAGTAAATGTCCGAGGGGTATTTGTCCGGGTGGTATTTGTCTTGTTTCCATTCAAAGTTATCATCAATTAAACCAACCCTGTTATTGCAACTAATAAAATCCAACATAATGGAAAACAATAATATTGCTAATTCGATATCAGACTTGGATTGTGAATTCGAAAACTTAAATTTTTTTATGTAAGTCGGACTATTATTATGCTAATCATATAAAAAACATTTTCACCCCATCATTATCGTCTGTAAACTGTTACACATAAATACACGTAGCTTATTTTTTAAAGTTAATGAAATTGAAATATTACTAGCAAATCTTGATATTAATCTAAATGTTATAGCGATTACGGAAACTTGGCTAATTTAATAGATAGCAAATGTTTTTTGCTTTTTTAATTTACAAGATATAATGTTCCAATTTTGTTCATTAACTTTTATTTATTTATTTTATATAGAACGAATGAAACCCTGTTAAAAAAAATTTATATTTTTTTTTACAAACAATAATATTACTAATCATTTTCAACCCATTAGTTTAACTTTTTTTATATTTCTTAAATTATTTTTAATAGACGGAAAAATGGTGTCAAAACGATACCAAGATACCTCATTTACGATATAATCAGAAAAGATGGACACAATGTAGGCAAGAGAATGATATGCGCATACTAAAAAATATCATTGAACTTCGAAATGAATGCAAAATAAATAAATCCGCGAAACCATTTAGCATCAGAGCTAAACCATTTTGGAATACAATTTACTCTAAAAGTTTACTGGATGGAAATTTTGCAACAAAGGTGTGCAATGAGGTAGATAGACTAATTTTTCAACCAGTTAATATGGGCTATAAAATGGGCCAATGCTAACCACTTCGAGTTAATACAGCTGACTTCAAACTCTCCGTGAGAACCAAAATGAAGGAAGGGATGCTTCCAAATTTTATTGGAGATCTTCATGTGAGCGGACTGAATCGGCCTTTTGAAAAAAAGACTAATGATAGCAATAATCTGCCAAAACATTTCCGCCATGGATAAAAACGAAGTCACGATTATAATGAATCAACGAGAGACGACTTGCCGCCCGTCAAAATGCCGAAACCCTCGGCTTGACGTAACAAAATGTCATAACTGACATCCCGCCTGAATTGAAATTACATTTTCTTTATTTGACATTTCATACATTGTCACTTTCATTTACAATAATCTAATCGACTCAAAATTATACTTAAAAATCCATATTAAAAATGTCAATAATAAAATCAATAAAACTCTAGGCTTGGTTTATCGTATAAACCCTTTCTTAAATAATAACTCTAGGGAAGTCTTTTATTTTTCATTGGTCAAAAGTCATCTGTTTTACTGTAATCTTATTCGAGAATAGACTAACAAAACTGTTTTCAAATAATAATCGGGATGCTTTCCTTAAAAATGAACTTCATTCTGTTTACGAAATAAACAAGTACAAGGCTTGCTGCTACTTATTCAAAGGGTTAAAGGGGATGTCAGCTAAAAAAAACCTCATACCATCTGCCCTAAATTGCATTGCTTGAGTAATAGTTCAATTTTATTTAGAACATTGATGGCAACCGACAAGCAAAGTTCCAGAATATTTTCTTTTTATGCACCAAAATTTTGGAATGATCTTCCAAATTATTTAAAAATCATTGACTCTTTGAATGTTTTTAAAAAAAACAATTGAAAGTATTTTTATAGTTGTTTCTCATGAATCATTTTTTAATTTTTTATTTATATTTACACATCTTGCAATGGTATTTTGACTTTTGAAACGTACTTCCGAATTATTTAAAAATCATTGACTCTTTTGATGTGCTAAAAAAACAGTTAAAAGTTTTATTATAGTTGTTTCTCACGATTCATTTTCTAATATTTATTCTTTTATTTACATGTCTTGATATTTTGACTTAAAATTTAATTTAATAAACTATTAGATATTTTATTGTTTTGTTTCATTACTTTATGTTATTACTTTAGTCAAGGTCACCAATAAAATAGCATTCATTGCTAAGGTTGCACCTTTTTTCTGTCATTTACGTAGTTTTTGATAGAAAAAAAACCATTTTATTATGGTCATCCTAAATTTTTATAAATAAAAATTTTGAAAAGCAAATACAATTTCGTTTCTTCTCCCAAGTTTTTGAACACTTATTCAAGTAGGTGTATGGGCGTGTAATCAAAACTCTAAAAAAGTAACATACAGCGTCCTTGATGGCCTCAGGTGCAGTCCACTTGATAGGGAACTTGTTGTTGAGGTGGATGATGTTCTCATGCGAAGGCTGGCTCTTCCTATCGGTGAATGAAGTGGGCGATGATGGCGTCGATGATGATGCAGCGCCATTGTTTAATAATGCTTGTTCAGGAGGAATAGCCAACCCAAAATCTGCCACCTGGTGAACCATATTTTTTATAATTCTAAAAACCCGCGAAAACTGATTAAAAATAAATTTAACTGTTAGAGTAAATATCTGTTGCTGAGAAAAAGCATTAGATTAAACAGCGCATCATCATAATAACACCTGAAGATAATAAATATCGTCCAGATATTAAATAATTAAACCAACGATCACTTAACTACAAACAATGACATAGCAGAATAATTAGTAAAAAATTATAATCTGGTAGAAAAATATATATTTGCAGGGCTAAATTCTACCCAAACCTAACCCAAACCGTAACATCATTACTACAGCACACCAACACAAAACATAACAGAACAAAGCTTAGATATATGATAGATACAGCACATAATAAATACAACCACACAGCACGGCAAACGACGTATAGTGTATCACAAAATAGTAACATAAGACGATACCTTTGCAGAACCATCTTCGTGAAGTAAAACATTCCTGGCAGCGAGGTCCCTATGAACGATTCCCCGTAGAGCTAGAAATGCCATGCCCTCACATACATCTCTGTCGTGTTTAATATGTGTATATGTTTGAAGTGTTTGCTGTGTTGAAGCATGCATTTAACAATGAAGTGCGTTTATATAATGTCTGTATGTGAGGGATAGGTTTATGTTATAGGTTATGAGGGATGTATGTACGAAACATGGACATTACCTCCCGTGCGTACAAGATCAACATTCATCCCTTGTAAAAATTAAATAGAGGACATGCTAACCAAGACATGCGGAGAAATAAAGATGCGGAGAAATAAAGAGTGAATACATCAATCACATTGCCAGAACAACTACTGAACTGGAACTTACGGACTCTAGAATTATCAGAAAAAGTAAGGATCCGAATAACATTACTAAAAGACTTTTATTCCTTATGAAAAAGATAGAAAGAAAGATAAGGATAGAAAGAAGGATAAGGATAGAAAGAAGGATAGTCCGGAATTTATTAGTGAGCTCAAGAAATGTAAAGAATATGTGGTTAGCATTAGGAAGGTAATTTTTAACATTAAAATTATTGCCTCAATATTTTATGGAAAAAAAATGAAAATTTTCAGCAAGCGTTTATTTGGAGTGTGATGATATGAATCTGAAGGCTGTCAAATGTCAATTGAAGACGCCAGGATTGAGCATTGACTCTTTAAAAAATATTTTTGAAACATATTTATTTCTGAGATGAAAATGAATATTTTGTATTCACTTTTATTTTATTTTTCATTGTCATAAATTTTTGTTTTTTTTTTTAATTTAATTTTGTTTTTTAGGAATTTTTGTGATGGCACTTTTTGAAAAAATTTAAATTTAATAAAATTTAAATTATAATTAATAATTAACCGTAGGAGATATAAATGAAGCTTTATATTGACACACTTCACAAGTGGCGCTTATTAATTTGTTATCATATCACATTTAATCACTAATGTCACTACACTCGTTGTTAATAAACCAGCTGCCTTTCATTGATAACATTTTTAGCAATAGTTCCTCATCTCATGTTGCTGAGATGCTTTTATCTGGTTCGACAGATCAGTATCCCATTTTTTTCTTTTTTGATTGTTTTCATGCATCTATCAAATTCAAGTAGAAAAAAATTATTAGTGCTGAAAAGGGACTTTGAATAGTTAGTTCATAAAAGCTTATTAAGCTTAAAAAAATTAGTTGAAAACATTTTAAAAAACTAAGTTTAATTTTAAATAAATTGAAATGAGCAGGTTTTAAAAAATAATTTAACTGTCGTTTTTAAATTATTCTAACGCTAATTGGTGCCTTTATTAGTTATTCATGAGTTAATTTAATAAACAGAAGGAATTTTAAAGCAAACATTAAAAAAGTCATTATACAATACAAATTTAATTTATGCTGAACCGAAATTATGTTTTTTTTTTATTATAAAGTTGGCTGTGCCAATGAGTTGATCGTCGACTCCACGCAGTCCTCCTGCACCTCATTTTATTTATGTTTGGTGAGGTCGAACAAAATATTTCACACCGAAAAAAGATGACCCTCGCGCCAAAATAAAATAACAATTTGAATATATGAAATACTTATTAATATGAAATCTTTGTACGTTTGAGATGCTATTTAATCAGTGATATATTAACAAATTTATAATTGCTAATTCGTAAACTGTTATTAGTTATTAATTCACAAATTCATAATGAACATCCGGGTGTCTGAACACACAATTTGACAGGCGCTCCGATGAGCTTCCAGTTGTTCGATGGTTCGATAAAAATCTTACTATTTTTATTTCTAACCCAATAACAATCAAGCCAAATACAAAAGTTATATAATTATCCTTAGGGAGATAAACAAAATAGACCTGCTCAGAAGTCAGTATCTATCAGAATGTGCGTGCTTACGTATGTATGAACTAGGAAGCGTGAATGTAAAAGTGTGTATGTATGAGGAGTGTGTGTGTGTGTGTGAAGTGTGTTTGTATCAAGTGCGTTTGTATGAAGTGTGTACATGTATATGTGAAAAATGTAAGTTTAGAAGTGTGTATGCTTAAAGTGTGTACGTGAATATGTATAAAATATGTATTTAATCACATGAAAATCCGTTGTAAAGATGTTTGAGTTGGCAACATGACAGCTATATTGTTATAATGCACTGAATAAACAAGGAAGTTAACTACGAACAAAGCCACAAACGATGTTGTAGATGATGATGATGCAGTTGTAGATGATTACGATCTTGTTGCGGCTGTTAATAATGTTGTTGTAGACGATGATGTTTTTGTAGGTGATGACGATGATGATGATGAAAAAAACTGTTGAAGATAATGCCGATGTTAAAAAAAATGTAGATGTTGAAACGTCAACTATTGATATATTGACAGGCAATAAAAAACCAAACATGATAATAAAATATTGTGATGACGATAAATTTGCGATGATTATGACGGAAATATGATAAAACTAATTTAAAAAAAAAATAAAAAATGAAAGGAGAATGAGAGGAATGAATGAGCAACCAAACAAACCTTGAGAACTTGATCTGGTCGGCAGGACTGATGACTGACCTGCCCCTCGTTCTCAGGTAGTCCACCAGGCTACCCTTCAACAGCAGCTCCATCATGATGTACGTCGGTGTGCCCATCACAACCCCCTTCAAATGCACCAGGTTTTTGTGCTTCAGTGTCCTGTAAGTTTATTGGTTGATTGATTGGCAGACGTGCCTGGTGTTCGAATATATAATTATATACTTGTGTATCTGTGCGCAAACGAGCGTGTGTGTTTGTTACATCAATCACTAATTGATAGTTTAATGAAAAGATTGCAGAAAGTAAAACAAAATTGACATTTCGATACAAAGCACAGATACAGACAACAGTGCCACCATCATCCACCCAACAAGCAGATGGTGAACAGTTGTAGTGATAATGATACAAACGAAAAAATAAAGCGAGCAACCAACTTGATCACATCCATCCAAACAGGACAACAACATCAATCAAACAACAAACTTATAAACGCTGCCAGTAACATAGTCGTCTCAACAGATAGAAAACCACAAACATTGGATCACATCAATGTGCATGAAACAACGTAAAACAATCAGGACGATCATAGCAAGAATTGACACAAAGTAACATAACAACAGCAATGACACGAACGTCATGACGGATGCTTCTTGTAGGAAGGTGTGCACCATTGTTCCTTTGATCACTTTGATAGCCACGTCCTCCCCATTAAGGGTGCCTCTGTATACCTCTGTCAGGTGATGAAAGTTGTCATGATGACGATGATGATGAAGGTGATGTTGATGACGATGGTTGTTAAGAAGTTAAGATGATAACACACACACACACACACACACACACACACACACACACACACACACACACACACACACACACACACACACACACACACACACACACACACAAACACACTAGCATATATATATTTGTTGTTCAGCAGGTAAAAGCACACATATATAAGCCCACTTATACATGTACGCACAAACACAAACCTCCATACTCTCCCTTTCCAATCTGTTCACCCAAAGTGATGTCTGAAAGGTTGAAGTTCCAGAGGGAACGAGTGAAAAATTCTTCGGTGGATTGATGCTGTGTTCGTGGGAGGGCTCGTCCTAACTGACAGACCAATCCATCGCTGTCTCTCTGGTAATGCTGTTGTTTCATTGGTTACCGTCAATGATTGATGTATGAAGTTTAAATTTTATTGGTTGTTAAGATAGATTGAGCTAGAATAGATGTGACTGGTGGTTGAGAAATAAATGATGAGTACAGCTTAAATGTGATTGGCTGTTGAGGTTGTAGACTATTGACAGCCAACATGAAATCAAACTTGATGTTTATAAAAATTGATTGGGAAACATCCATCTAAATCTCTTCATCATCATTGTTTGTGACATATTCATCCCAATCACCATCGTCGCAATCATCATCTATACATCATCATCATCATCATCACAATCCTCACCATTGTTACTATTACAATCATCATCAGCATCACAATTAGCATCATCATTACAAAAATCATCTCCGTCATCCTCACAAACATACCTTTCACAATCATCACCACCATCATCATCACAATCATCATCGTCAAAATCATCACTATCATCATTATCATTATTACCATCATCATCATTATTACCATCATCATCATCATCACCATCATCATCATCACCACCACCACCATAATGAGTGCGGTAAGATCGTCGAAGTGTGCCTCCTCATCAATGGTTAACTTTCCATCTTTATTATCGATGTGGTAGTGTTCTACCTGGCGGTTATGATAATGATAGTGATTATGATGATGATAACGATGATGTTCCTTACTATCAAGATCATAGTGATGCCGGTGATAGTGCTGATGATGATAGTTATAATGGTAACGATGATTATGATGGTCGTGGTAATAAAAGTAATGATGAAGTTGATGAAAACTGATAGGATAATTAGATATTAAAACATTAATAGAGATGATGATGGAAATGATAATGGTGATAAAAAAAGAGGATGATGATGGTGATGATAAAGAGAAAGAAAATGATGATCATGAATACAGCAAAAAAGATGGCACGAAAATATATTAAGGAATTAAAAATAGAACGGTTATTTTCAGAAGTTAAAACAAGAACAACAACATCACAGTTGCAATGCTCACAGCTTCCTCGTGGCGCAACTGGGGATCAAAAAGCCTCGAATGGGAACAAACCGCTCAGAGATCAGCATCAGAAAAACCAGTCAGGTTTTTGCCATGGGCAGACATGTCGCCGACCTGACCCTACTACTCCTGGCCGGAGACATCGAAACAAATCCTGGACCCCAGTGTGTGTCAAGTTACTGATATATATAACCTACAACACATTTTCAAAACAATTCGCGCTTGAAATTTACAATAGAATTTAGTACTGAAAAACAACTCGCGTTCGTCGATTGTCTCGTCGAACACACAGCAGTTAATCATCAAAGTCTACGTGAAACCTATCAACTTTGGCCAAGTAATAAATAACGCATCTGACTGTCCAGACAGTTACAAAAACAATGTAGCTTATAATTTCATCCACCGGGCATACAAAATTTCATCTGATGCTAATATTTTCAATAATGAATTAGTACGTATCAAACAATTCTTGATCAACAACAACTATTCAAATAAAATGATCGATGATAAAATGAATAAATATTTTCAAAAAGTTAATAATCCCGTCACTCTAAACTCGCAGTATATTACAATAAAAACAGCCATACCAATATGTGAATACAAAGTTTGTGACTACTCGTCAAAAATCCTACGTCGTCACGTCACTCGATAAATTATCCCATTTTAATATTCATTTATTCATTCTTGTTTTCATATCTTCATAATTTAACAACGTATACTCACATTGCTTTATTTTACGCGTTAGTATGATACATCCTACCATCTACGCCAGTACCATTCCATCACTACACAAACATGTTTCGTTTTCAGTCTACTTATAGTTCCATATCGATACTTAACAATTTTATTTGTATTTTAATATCTGATTTTCTTAATTTATTTGTTTTATTTTCTTTCATATATATTTTATTTATATTCGTTATTCATATTTATATCATGTTTACATGTTATTACAAAATAATCATTTTTACTCCAATTTCGGTTCTTGCAATTGAATTTTCTTAATTTCTATGATTTTAAACCTTTATTTCAATTTATAGTCCGTTATTTCAAATTATAGGATCTGAAGATGACATCTGTGTGTCAAAACAACGTTGTTAGCCACACTATGATTGGAAGTTTTAATAAATATGAATTGCAACAGTTACGTGTTGTTGAATGTCTTTTAAAGAAATTAATAAACGCTAAATGGGCAAAATCATTTAACCAAATTTATTTATTTTATGTATTTCCATACTTAAATTATAAGTTTTTCATGTAAATTTCCTGGTTACTTGTTAACATTTTAACATTTCATTCTTGCTGTATCAGTTGTATTAAGGACCAGTTTAACTATACGAATTTTGTAATTACCATTTTAGACTTATTTCGCAATAATAATTTTTAAAATTTTTCTTTTACTATTTTACACTAACTTGTATTGACCATATTTTGTATCTTACATGTATGCATGTATATTTTAACATTAACCCATTAATGCCGGCCGTACTCATTTGAGTACGCCTCTTGAATTTGGCATCAATTAAAATGGGAGGTGTTTTAAAGGTAATTATCTTGCTACATCCTGGTAATGCATACCATTTAACTAGTAGTGAGTGTAATTTAGACATTTTTGTGCATGTGTTTGATGTGACGAAGCTTAGAAGTTGGCGATTTTTTCATAGTGACAGAGCTACTTTTGCAAATTTTTTTTCTGTTAAAAAAATTTTAAAATTTTTTAATTTTATTTTAAAAACAAGAAGTCTTTGGATTAATCTTTATGTTAGTAACATTATTTTGAATATTAATTTGATATAAAGTAATTTACAAACACAAACATCTTACTGTCCTCGTACGAGAACGTTAGGCACAAATGAATATATTATGGTTAACTTTTTGATTTTACCTCAGACGTGAAAAACATGGATCCTAAATCCTTTTATGGCACTAAAACTTTTCAAAAATTAGAAGAAGCCTTAGAAGAGATAGAAAGTGATAATTTTGAAACAGTTGGCAGTGTTGATTTGTGTGTCCTTCCTCCAGATTTGGACGAATTGACAGATGCCGAAGAAATTGATGATGACAATATAATTGATCCTCATTATGTTCCAAAAGACATTTCAGGAACTATACAAATATCTGTTGATTTGAATAACGAACCGGATAACGAAAACGAACCTGATCAAATATCTGAAGGTTTATATAAACAATATACTACATTCGAAAAACCCAAATGGACAAAATCAGATTTTTCGTCAGCATCACCTAGTACAAGTAATTCGTTTGATGAAGACCTACAAAAAATCAAAGACAACCTTAAAGATTTGTCTTCAAGACAAATTTTTGAAAAATTTCTTTCCATGAATATTACTAATTACATATGCCATCAATCCATCATTTATGCACGACAAAAAAATAACCACTCAACTTAAGAACCAGAGGAACTACGAACTTTTTTAGCAATCTTATATTTTACTGGATACAATCCATTGCCAAGAGAGCGTTTATATTGGTCACTAGATGAAGATCTCGGAGTCTCATGTGTTTATAATGCTATGAGTCGAGACAGGTATCTGGAAATAAAGAGATTTCTTCATTTGGCTGATAATTCCAAAATTGCAGATTCTAAAGACCGCATGTATAAAATTAGACCGTTGTCAGACAAGTTGCAAGAAAACTTTTGTCAATGGGGATGTTTTCATAAAGACATTTCCATTGACGAATCTATGGTAAAATATTATGGACATCTTCCAGCAAAACAGTTCATTAAAGGTAAGCCCGTGAGATTCGGGTATAAAAACTGGATGATAGCTAGCTCCAGTGGATACTGCTATGGTTTCGATGTTTATTGTGGAAAAAAACCAAATGAAACTGAAGACACCAAAGCATTACCACTAGGAGCTAAAGTTGTGTTGGACCTTCTAAAACATTTACCAGAACCATCAAGAAATAATATCTATTTCGATAATTATTTCACTAGTTACGCATTGATGGTGTACCTAAAGAAAAAACATATAAATGCCACAGGGACAGTCAGAGAAAATCGAACGCAGAAATGTCCATTGATGGAATCAAAAGAAATTAAGAAAATGACAAGAGGGTCTTATGACTTCAAATTTGATAAAGCAAATGGCATTTTATGTGTAAAATGGTATGACAACAGTGCTTGTAGCATGTTGTCTAACTGGGATTCAATCAAACCACTGAACAATGTAAAGAGATGGTCAAGAACAACCAAATCTAAAGAAAACATTCTTCAGCCGAAATTGTTCGCATCTTACAATTCTGGAATGGGAGGAGTAGATAACCATGATCAATGCTTATCCCTATATCGAATAAGCGTAAAAGGGAAAAAGTGGTGGTGGGTTTTATTTACGTACTTTTTAGACATGGCAATGACCAATGCTTGGAAAATTCAGCAAATAACTTCTGAGAATGTAATGGACCAACTCGAGTTTCGTCGCCATATAGTACGTGGCTATTTGAGAGACGGTGCGGCGAGTAGAGCCAGTAGAAAGAGAAAAACCGGATCCAGTATTGAAACCACAGTAGGATTTCACTTCCCTGGAAAATTGGAAAAACAACTAAAGTGTACTTTTTGCCACATGAAAGCTAGATGGATGTGTAAAAAATGTGGCAAAACACTATGCATCGAAAAGGGGTGTTTCGAAAAGTATCATCTCGCATCTGCCTAACGTCCCCATTTGAGGACGCCTTTATAACGTTATACTTAAATAAATTTTTTTAATTTTTTTTGAATAAACATATTAAATATACTTCATATTTTACAATTTTGCACAATTTGATGTTTTTCATTCAGTAGTTTTGTTTTAGGCGTAAATGGGTTAACTTTAGGGACCAGTCGAAAATAGTTACTCTATTGCTAATTGGAACCCTTTTGTGTACATTATTGTAATTTATGTTTAAGTGGCCATAAGCGATAATTCATTGTGAATCCTATTACGGTCAACCTGTCTTTCATTCATTTATTTCAACCCTTAATTTTTAGTGGCAAATAAAATTTTCGTTTTTCGTTTTGTTTAATTTCGATCACTCCAAAATTATGTTGAAGGCCAAAAAATCATTCAAAAATGTGTCAACTGGTGATCCCAGTATCTAAAAAATCCAATTTTCTGATTCTGTGACAACTTATATTTATAAATTTTTCAATTTTTAGAATTTGTTCTGCAGTTAAGAGATGTTATCTTTTTGTAGATCAATTAGTCACTTTAACGATAATGGTGGAAATGATAATGAAGACGAACGATGATGATAATAATAATAAAGATAGTAACTATGTGAAGTATTTTTGGCGCGCGTTTATGAATGAATGTTTCATGTGCATGTGTTGTTTGGTTTGGCGCGCTTGTTGGAGTGGTCTGATATGCATGCTGGTAAAACGTTGCATAAACTGGTTTTGTATGCATGCTGGTGGAATATTATGTGAATTGGTTTTATGTGAATAGTATGGCAAGAGTATAGTGAGTATATTTGAAAGTGTATGAATGCTCATGTGAATGAATATATAAGTATTTTGGAACAATCGTTTTGGTTAGTCTTTCAAGGACAGTTTTTCGAGTTAGTTTGTCAAAGAGTTTTTCGAGTTTTTGAGTTAGTTTTTGGGAAAGTTTTCGAGTTAGTTTTGGTAGAGTATATATAAACAGTCAAAAAATAACAATGGCGGGTCAACGTATAATTATTTCGGAGTTAATTTGGTTGTTTAATGATAATAAGTCAAATTTCGATAACGAAAATTTTAAGCAATTAATAGCTAATAGTTTTGCTCAAGAAGAATTAATTTACGGGAAAAAATTGTTATTGAGCGAGTTAGAATTGTTAAAAGTGGAAAAACCTAAATTATCGCCACGTGGTAATACAAAGTTACACTATATAAATGATATTGTAGAATTGTTTAAGTTTATTCTAGACAATAAATGTATATGACAAAATGGCAACATCTGTTGTTGACTTTAATTGTTTTGTATCAAGTTTTGAATTATTGTTAAAGAACAGTAAGACTACTGCATACGTTACAGAATACTTCAATATTGATCTAATTGCTCATTCTAATAATAAACTAATATTTCAAAATTTATTCTCAAGTTATAGTTTTTTTCCATCTAATTATTTTCCTACAAGAGTGTCCATTACTTCTAAATCATCGATAACATTCCCACCAATGTCTATGAAAGTCATCAAAGCGGTGTGGTAACATCAGATATATTAGACCATTTCCCAATATTTTGTCTGTCACAAAATTCGGTCTTTAATATTAAACAGTCATCAACACTTAAGAGAAACTTCTCAAAAGTTGTTATTTGTAATATCAAAAAAAGCCTACGCGAAGTAAATTGGGACTGTGTCCTCAACTGTGATCATATAAATAGAATATAGATATAATAGGCATCGCTCACTATTAGCAAAAAAACTTGGGTAGCAATATAGAGTCTTTTGATGAAATTGAGCGGTAAGTCACGTGACAAAGTAAGAGATGTATTATCGTCAATGAACATGTAATGTTTATAATATTTACTTAAATTTCAGAATTTAATAATTAAGCCGCCATCGGTCTTTATGAAAGTGTCATTAAAACGTAAAGTTAGTTATATATGTTATAAACTTATTTTATGTATAAATTTATCATCAAAATCAATAGTTATATACATATCTTTTTAATAATGAATCTATATAATTACATATAAATCTTTTATAACATTTAGACATATTTATTAGAGTATAATTATTAAATGATTATATTGGTCTTTTGTCACAATTATTAAAAGATATATTCGGTTTCATAAATTTCAAAAAAAAATTCACATTGATACATCATACAAAACCAGTGAAGTTGAATGTGGACATTCATCATTATTGGCACTTTTAAATTATTATTAAATTTAATGATTTTTATTAAAAACAATTAATTGCATTGAAATAGGAAAATAATATGGTGACTCCCAAAAAGCAAAAGTTGGACGGTGATACGCTATTCAGTCATCAGAAAAGAATAGCATTAGTAAGTTTTTGCTTTTTATAATGTATTTCAAACATACTTATTAAAAGCGAGACTGCCTAGGCTGGCGGCGGCGTTTGCTGGTATTCGAACTCAGAAAAGTTTCGGCAAAAATTCTCAAACTATCATGATGTCATGATGATGTTGCTAATGCTAACAAAGATGATGAAAGAAATTATAAAAAAAACTATAATAACAATGATGTTGATGACTAGAACATTGCTTTATGTTAATGCTGATCACAATTTTTTGTAATTATTATGACTGATGGTCAAAAATTTTGATGATGATGACGACAATGATGATGACGATGATGTTGATGACGACGATGGTGACGACGACAACGATGATAATGACGATAAAAATGATGACTGGCAAGAATTAATAAGATGAATATGAAGTCGATGATAATGACTGTTGTAATTACTGACGATTCATCTTATAGTAATTATGAGAACATTAATAACGTTAAAACGCTTATCGGCACCATATAAAATGATAATGCTTCCGATGTTTGATAATTAAGTAAAAACAATGGAAAATTCCCAAATTATTTATTATTAAAAAAATTACTTGTCAGCATGATAAAATATATTGTAGAAACATCTAAAAATCCACAAACATCCTTCAAACAAATACAGTCGGACATCATTATAACGAACTTCTAAACAACGAAAATCACAATATAACGAAGTTTTTTATGTCCCTTAGAATTTTACATATAAAACTGCTTCTATACAGCGAAATTAATTACTCTAAAACAAACTAAATTTATATAAGTTAAAAGAAGTATCCAAAAAGCAAACATTCTATTAATTGATATAAGCGGTGTTTTTGTATTGCTTTAATTACCTAGAACCATATTTGTTGTTTCTTGTTCTAGTATTCTAGTAAATTTTGCGAATTCTACCTTGATTAATTTCAATGGACTCGGAATCATCGTTGCATTGAGAAAAAAATAAATTTCACTTCTAAAATATTAATGTACACCAAGCAAACACATGCAACGACCATACAAATTAAACAAACAACAAGAACATGCACAATTACACACCAAATACACAACAAAAATACACACCCTGAATAATTAAACCAATTCGAACAAGGAGACAACATAATTATAAAAGTGGCTTGGTCGTGCATTGGGTTCGAATTCAAAAACATTCACGCCTAGCATACAAAAAACTGTACGCCACGTGGATTTCAAGCGTATTCGTGTACGCTGTGTCTGCCCGTCCTCAAAATATACACACCGCACACGACAAACTCACCTTATTATTGAAGAAGATGCAGAGCGTGTAATCCCCGGGAAAGTTGGAGGACTCCCTGACCAGATAGCATTGGTCCTCGGCTTTCTCCATCAGCATCTGCGTGGCGAGCGACCTGCTCAACTTGCCGTGGTACCATCTGGTGTCGCGATGACAAATGATGACGATGATGTTGCTAGTGAGGATATTGATAGCGACAATGATAGCGATGGCGTGATGGGGATGACCACGGTGACAACAATAGAATTGGAAAAGTTTATGCATATGGTTCTAACATCAAAAGTTTATGAACATCAGAAGTTTATGTATATGTTACTAACATCATTCTGTCGTCTTTATAGTTACTAGTATTATAGTTGCATAATAATTGTATATATATATATATATATATATATATATATATATATATATATGTGAGGGCTGAAAGGGTCGGGATTAGGCGTGCGTTGGAGTTCGAGGTTGAAGTAGTGATAGGAAGGGGTCGTCCACGATTGGAATGGAGAGAGCAGGTGGAGAAGGACAAAGTGAAAGCGGGGTTGCGTGATCCTGAGGCGAATGACAGATGTGAATGGCGTCGAGGGGTATTTCGGTTTCATCATGGGTAGCCAAACTGCAACCCCCGATCTCGGGAAAATGTCGTCTAAACGTGTGTTGTTGTTGTTGTTGTATATATATATATATATATATATATATTTTATGATATTTTTATATTTATATTTTTTATTACTTATCTTTCTATAATACATATTTTAATAACGTCATTTTATTTTGTTTCAAATTTTATTTTTTATCTTTATCTAAATTATTTATTAATTATAATAATAAATTTTAATTTCTACATTTTCCTTTTTTTTTATATCGTCTTACTGACTTTCACTTTTAATATCATCCCGCCACGAAACACTTGTTTTTCCCGTCTAACTGAATTGTTTTATCATACGTTTCTACACAATTTTATTTACTTATTTTCATAATTTTGTTTTAATTTCATTCGTTTAAAACCGTTTATTGTTTTATTGCAATATTTTATAATTACAAGGTAACATTTTTTCATATTTTACATTTTCATATTTCTAATTTTCTAATTACAACGTCATAATTTCATTTCTTGTACTTTTCATTAAATTTCTTGATTTTAATGTTTAAATTATAATTCAATTTTTGATATTTCGTAAAACCAGGCTCTGATGATGACTGTATGTCGAAACAACGTTGTAAGCCTAGGATGACACATAATGATAATAAATATGAATTAAAACAGCTTCGTGTTGTCGAAATCCTTATTAAAAAATTAATTAATGCAAAATGGGCAAAAATATTTAACGATATTTGCATCAAAGAAAACCTCGTTCCAAAATATATATATATATAAATATATATATATATATATATATATATTTCAGAAATTAACTTT